CATTATTTTTGAAATTACTGGAAGTATACTTATTGGTCTGTAATTTCCAATTGACATTGGGTCTCCTGGTTTAAAGATTGGTATGATTACTGATGTTTTCCAAGGATCTGGGTAGACACCTTCCTTTATGGATTGATTTATAATATTGGTAATTGGGTATGTGAGTGAGCGATTATGATTCTTTAGCAAAATAGTATCCAGACCAAACGCATCTTTAGTTTTAGAGTTTCTTAAGCCATTGATGATTCTGTCTATGCAAGATGGTGTTATGGAAGGCAGGTGAAATACTGGAGTGTTTGTATTAGTGGCAAGTACTTTGCAAGTTTGAACACCACAAGTGTTTGTTAAGGTCTTCATACTATCTATAAAATGAGTATTGAGGCTTCCTGCAATACTGATTGGATCAGAAATCGCCTCATTACGTAATTTGATTTCCCTGAAAGTTCTATTCACTGAAGCATTTCCTTTTAGTTCTTTTAAGTTATTCCAGATTTCTTTAGTATTTCCTTTTGCATTGATTATTGTATTTATAAAGTAATCTGCCTTTGCATCTCTAATGTTTTTTTTACTTTATTTCTAAGTGAGGTAAAGATTTGTTTGTTGTTTAATGTTTTAGTTTTTAGTGCAGTCTTGAGGGCATAATCATGTTGTTTCATTAAAGTCCACATATCCCCTTTTAACCAGGGTAGATGCTTTGTTTTATGTGGTCTCTGCTTTGTATTTTTCATAAATCGACCTATCGTGTTCTGTAGAGTTGTCATAAAAATATCACAATCATCATTTACTTTTGTATGGGTGAGTATTTTTGTCCAATCTATTTTATTTAATGCAACTTCCAGATTTTTTAATTCGCTTTTGGGAATACGTATTTGAACTGTTGTTTTATTATGAGGCCTTGTAAACCTGTTTTTTGAGAGTTTTCTTGAAAAGAGTATTAAATTGTGCACAGATAAACCTGTAACCATATTGTAAGTTTTGTTTATTCTTTCACTCCTATTGCTAAAAACTAAATCAATGCATGTTTCAGTTGATGTACTTATCCTGGTGGGTCCTTTAATTAGTTGTGAAAGTTTAGTGTTTTCTATTGCTGCCTTACAATGACAGCACTATCTGCAAACTGGTGTACGTTCTCCATTTTAAATAAATGTCATCTGTTTTCTTTGTCAAGCTTTCAATTTCGATTTATTCAGTCAGAAATATAACAAAACATAATATAATCATAAAACATAAAACATTACATTTAAAATGACTGAAAAGGCTCAGACAGAAGCAAAATGCTTATATTTATGCCTGTCCTTTTTATGATATTATAATATAATAATGTCCTTGTTAATATAATAATAGTAAATAATTTAAACACAGACCCTGTCAAACTGAAATACCCTCCTCAGTTCTGTACCTGGTATAAATATTGTTTTGGTATTTATTTTTAAACAGAATCATAGTAACACATTTCCTTAGTGTACCCTCCATCTTATTCCACAGTCTTGCTCCACATACCAAAATACTAAAGGTTTCACTTGTTGGACGTGTAAAAGGAATTCTGAAATGAAATTGTTCCCGTAATTTATAACCCCCTTCCTTCTCAATGAATAATTTTTTTATGTTTTCTGGTAATTGTTTCTTGCTAGAAATAATATTTGTGCTGTCTGCATTTCTACAATGTCTCTGAATTTTAAGAGTGTTGACTGTATAACTAATTTATTAGTGTGATCCGTACGTACAGTCTATGGTGTGATCCCTATATCCTACCTTATAAATGATTAATATTGCTTTCTTTTGAAAAATTATTAGTGGTTGGATTGCACTAATGTAATTATTACCCCAAACTGCTGCACAAAAGCTAATATATGGAAGAACTAATGAGCAACAAAGTAACCTGAGCGATTTATAATCCAAGACATGTTTCACGTTGTTTAATACTGCAATGGATCTTGAAATTTTAGTTTGCACATATTTAATTTGTGGTTTCCAATTAAATTTATCATCTACAATTACCCCAAAGAATTTTTTTTCCTTCACTCTTTCAATATTTACTCCATCTAACTGTACATCTAACTGTACATTCAAATTCATATTAGTGTTATGTCTACCAAAAAGGATTTGTTTTGTTTTGCTCATATTTAGCGATAGTTTATTTATATCAAAACATTATTTTAATTTGATCAATTCAGCATTAGAAGAAGCCGCGGTTCCGACCAGACCCGTCTCGAGTTACCCCCGGCACACGACTCTTTATTGCCGTCTGTTCAGACCCAGCCTGGGTCGGTGGAGCTTTTATTCTGAAAGGAGCTGTTGTTGTCGCTGGTTGTTATAGCGACTGGATTTTCTCAGCTTGTCGTGGTTCTTTCGGTTGAAGAGTTAAAGGTCAGATTGGCCACACCGACATTTGCTCTGGAACGCTTTGAACTGGTGTTAGAGCTGACGTGGCACAGTTTTATACCTCGGATGTTTTGGTTTATTGTCGAATGAAAATTACCAAACACCGTCAGAAGCACGCCTCCGTCAGATCTGTAAAATTCTGATTGGATCAGTGAAAGAATGTGTTATGTCTTTTTAGCACTACGTGAAATGGGTCCTGTTGGAACATTTAAAGTTACAGTACTTCATTTCTAAGATCATAATAAAATAATTTATATTTTAATTTCCCAGGTCGGTCACATCTTATTATTGACTAACACTTTGATGGATTAGCTATATTAAAATAGATTTCTTTGATTAATTAAAAGAAAAGAGTTCATTCTTCTTTCTTCTGTCTTCATCGCTGGAATGTAAACAGTTTAGAAGCGAATGCATGACCTTGAGGCTGTTTCATGCACACTGACACTGTGCCAAAAGGAAACAGCTGTTAGAGGGGAGAAATGGCTCCTTCATCACGTTACAGAAATAATATTCGTCGTCGTCGTCGTCGTCTTCCTCCGCTTATCCGGGTCCGGGTCGTGGGGGCAGCATCCCAACTAGGGAGCTCCAGACCGTCCTCTCCCCGGCCACCTCCACCAGCTCCTCCGGCAGGACCCCAAGGCGTTCCCGGACCAAACTGTAGATGTAACCTCTCCAACATGTCTTGGGTCGACCCGGGGGCCTCCTGCCGGCAGGACATGCCCGAAACACCTCCCCGGGGAGGCGTCCAGGAGGCATCCTGACCAGATGCCCAAACCACCTCAACTGGCTCCTTCCGATCCGGAGGAGCAGCGGTTCTACTCCGAGTCCCTCCTGAATGTCCGAGCTCCTCACCCTATCTCTAAGGCTGAGCCCGGCCACCCTACAGAGGAAACTCATTTCAGCCGCTTATGTCGACAAAGGGCAGCCCTGGCGGAGTCCAACCCTCACCGGGAACAGGTCCGACTTACTACCGGCTATGCGGACCAAACTCACGCTCCTCTGGTAAAGGGACGCCTGATCTGAACTCGAGTGGTGTTTCATTATTGGACTTCTGTGCAAGCCGCAGTTTGGCCATAACGAACACCATGTTCGAACATAAGGATGACCATCAGTACACTTGGTACCAGGGCAGCCTAGGTCGCAGGTCGATGATAGACTTTGTAGTCGTATCATCTGACCTGCGGCCGTATGTTTTGGACACCCGAGTGAAGAGAGGAGCGGAGCTGTCAACTGATCACCACCTGGTGGTGAGTTGGATCAGATGGCAGGGGAAGATGCCGCGTAGACCTGGCAGACCCAAACGCATAGTGAGGGTCTGCTGGGAATGCCTGGCAGAAGAACCTGTTAAGACAGTCTTCAACTCCCACCTCCGGCAGAGCTTTGACCGCGTCCCGAGAGCAGTGGGGGACATTGTTCCACTCTGCCATTGTTGAGGCGGCTGTTGCTAGCTGTGGTCGCAAGGTGGCCGGTGCCAGTCGTGGTGGCAATCCCCGTACCCGCTGGTGGACACCAGAGGTTCGGGGAGCCGTCCGGCTGAAGAAGGAGGCCTACAGGGTGTGGCTGGTCTGTGGGACTCCGGAGGCAGCAGACAGGTACCGGATAGCCAAACGGGGTGCAGCAGTGGCAGTTGCCGAGGCAAAATCTCGGGCATGGGAGGAGTTTGGTGAGGCCATGGAGAAAGACTATCGATCGGCTCCAAAGAGGTTCTGGCAAACTGTCCGGCGCCTCAGGAGAGGGAGGCAGCAACTCGCTCACACTGTTTATAGTGGGGATGGGGAGCTGCTGACGTCAACTGAGGCTATAGTCAGATGGTGGAAGGAATACTTTGATGAGCTCCTCAATCCCACCTACGCACATTCTGGGGAGGAACCAGAGCCAGGAGACCTGGGGATGGACTGTCCAATCTAGGGGGCAGAAGTTGCTGAGGTAGTCAAACAACTACACAGCGGCAGAGCCCCAGGGGTGGATGAGGTCCGTCCTGGGTATCTCAAGGCTATGGATGTTGTAGGGCTGTCGTGGTTGACACGTCTCTGCAACATTGCGTGGTCATCCGGGGCAGTTCCTGTGGAGTGGCAGACCGGGGTGGTGGTCCCCATCTTTAAGAAGGGTGACCTGAGGGTGTGTTCCAACTATAGGGGGATCACACTCCTCAGCCTCCCTGGAAAGGTCTACTCCAAGGTACTGGAGAGGATGGTCCGATCGATAGTTGAATCTCAGATTGAGGAGGATCAACGTGGTTTTCGTCCTGGCCGTGGAACTGTGGACCAGCTCTATACCCTTGCAAGGGTGATGGAGGGGGCATGGGAGTTTGCCCAACCAATCCACATGTGTTTTGTGGATTTGGAGAAGGCTTATGACCATGTCCCAGGGGCACCCTGTGGGGGACACTCCAGGAGTATCGGGTGGGTGGCTTTCTATTAAGTCCCTTTAAATTATATTGAACTTTAAAAACGTCATCATTCATTTATTTCAAGACTATGATCACCACATGATAAAATAAGATAAAAATGTAAATCAGTGATCATACCACAACCACATTTTACTTGATGAAGTCCATTATCTTTTGACTTTAGAAGACAGATGTGGGTCTCAGCAGTAAAACGATTTTTCTGCTTCAGGAAAAGTCAAAGCATCAGCAGCAGCCTCACAACCAGACCCGTCTGATGATTGCATCACCCCCGTCTCCTCTGCATCAGGTAACTGAATGCACATGTGCATATCTATGGTTTGTTTAAACCATACTAACGTCTGATGTTTTCCCCACAGGTCCTGCATCTTTGGAGCCTCCACTATCAGTTCCTCCAGTTACTTGCCCTCAAAAATCCATTGAGGAGAACCACATCACCCTTAAGACTGAAGCCGGTATCAGGCCTTGGTGAGAGTGTTAAAAAAAAGAATAATCACATTTCATTTATATTTTATTATACTTATAAGGTTACTTCTGTGGTTGTGCAGCACTCCTTCCTGGAACGCCTGCAGAATCTTCAGCTTCCTCAGCATCACCGGCAGTTTCTGGTCAGTCAGTGTTAGGCCACCCCACCACACTTGCTCATCCTTCAGCAGTCTCTGCAGCGAGAGATCCACCAGCTCTGTCTCATAGACCTGCTGTCCCATCGATTGCCAGCTATGAACAGGATATGAGCCGATGGAACTGCTCTCACCAGCAAAGGATTTGGATGAAGACGGAGATGGGTCTGTGGCCTGGATCTCGACCGTTGAGACACCCAGTGAACATGATCTCATTGTGGCGTAACCCCCCTCAGCCAGAGCTCATCGACTCCATCTATGAACTGCCATCACCCAAATATTTTCAGCTGCATCCATTTTTCATCTGGAAACCAGAGCATGCCATCATGGAAAGAGTGCGTAACAACTACTCACTTCCATGCCTCTACAACTGTTCAAACCCCCATGTGGTCTCGTCAGGAGTTGGTCGGCCTCGTGTTGTCCTTGGAGCAAGTGGGCAGTACTACATCCTGGCCTCACGCCTCAGCTGTAGAGTCTGCAAGAAGTTCTGGTTTGCAGATAAACCTCAATGGGTCAACATTGCTGCCAAACAGATTCCGCAGCATTTTTCCAGCATTTCTGACCCACAAGAAAGGCATATGCAGGACCGTGATGGATGAGCTGCGGCACTCAGGAAAGTCTCCAGATGACATGGCCAACCAGCTAAATGAAGTTCTCCATCGTAAGTACGAGCGTACTCACCTGGCATACCTCTCCTCTGTTCAAAACATAATGGATGGAGACTGTGGACTGTATGGCCAGCGGACCATCACTGCAACTCTGAGGACAACTGCTGCTCCTGCTGCTTTTGGGATGTACGGTGATGTTGATGGCTGGCATGGAGTAGCTGTTGAAGCTCATTACCTGGTTGACTGTCTCATTCAGGAGTAGGGCTGCTCGATTATGGCAAAAATAATAATCACGATTATGGTGACTGAAATTGAGATCACGATTATTTAGGACGATTTTTCAATTTATGTTGATTTTATTTGTTTTTATTCAGTCATAAAACTGCTCAGGGCACAATCAGGACAAAAATAAGAAACAAGATGATCACTAAAATAACTCCTGATTCCCAGTATAAAAAGACCAATATACTTATAGCTCATAGTCTATGACCCAAGGGCTATAGACCTTGGTTTAACTCATGTAAGTCTAACCAGTACAGATCCAAATACCAATATCTTGCAAATACTGACAGCAAGAATTATACAGTGGCATTTATAACAAATAAATGCAAATAAATTGATGTTCACAAAATGTTGCAGAACATTTATTGAGTCGTTTCAAGGTGCGGTAGGAGAGTGCACTAGCACCGTGTCCTCAGAGAGATTAGTTATTAGCGTGAGGAACTTATTTCTACCTTATTTATAAACTATTTATTTACAGGCCCATCAGTTAATATAATAATTGTCCCAACCACAGCTGCACCCCCCACCCCCCCACCCCGGTCTCACAGCAATCGGGGCAAGCTGCACGTGTGTTTAGCGCGCTGCACGCGCACATTTAGCTGTTTTTAGTGGCTCAGGAGCCCGCAGGTACGGTGTGTGTGTCACTCACTCTGGTTAATCCAACAAGGAGCCGACTCCGAGAGCCGTTTCTTTAGCGACCGACACATCACTACATCATTCCCTTTCCTAATGTTGTGAAGAACAGTCCGGAGCGCAGGCGGAGTGTTTAGCTAACCTGCAGGAAACGTCGACGACAGTTATCCAGAAAGTAGCTAAGGGTTACCAGAGATGTTTCTGAGATGTTCGCTAGGTACTTTTAGGATTAAAAAGTCAAGAAGGGGGTCTGAAAAGCTGCTAGAAATAGCGTCAAAGTCGCTAAGTTGGCAACACTGTGGAGGAGCGCTTCATTTGCAACTCAGGGCAGCGCAAGCGGGAGGAGCAAATAATCGGCTTGTTATGTTTTTTTTATAATCGTTCAAAACTCAGATCGTAATCGTGATTAAAATTCGATTAATTGAGCAGCCCTATTCAGGAGTATAGAAAGCAGAAGGACTCGCTGAATCTGCTCCGTCAGGGTACCTTTGGGCAGGTCTTCAGAGCTGACCACACCCGTAAGGTGGCACGGAAAGTGGTCCTCTCATCAGGCACCATGTCATCATATGCCATCATGAATGAGAACTGGATGATCCTGTCCTGGGTGATGCTGCAGTCTGAATCAGACAAATCGCTGGAGCCAATGTATGAAGGGTCGTCCTGCCGTTACATTTCTGGAGGACAACATAAAGCCACGCATCGGTGGGTTGACAGGTAAGGTCAAACATCATTGTTTCCTTAGCCGTGTTTTTTTTTATTTTTTACATTCATACATTAAAACAAGGCATAAATTACTGTGTAAAATTTATTTGTGTACAACTAGTATTTCATTCCTTTATTTATATTTGCAGAGATTGCAGCGCTGCATTCAGCATCCCAAATCCTGGACATCAGGAACACCTGCTATGGGATTCTCGGAAGACCACAGATGACATAATAGCCGAGGCAACTTCTGGGAATCTCAACAACACCTGTGCTTCTCGCCAAAGCTATAACAGTAAAATCAACATTAAACTGGATTTATTTCATTGTATGCAGCGTTTCACCAGGGAGCGCACATCTGAACATCACCCACTGCACAGCGCTTTCTGCAAGTTTCACTCTGCAGCCTTCTGTGTTGTTGGCCAGACAGACCTGCGTCTACTGAGGCAACAACCTGTCTAGTCTGGGTTATCTTCAGGTGACGGCAGAAAACTGGAATGTCTGTTTTGCGTCTAAGGCTGTACGATGGCTCTTAAAAGAGCCGTTGTGTCTTAAATCACTCGCAAGTGTTGCAGAGAGGCTTTGACCTTGAGGTCAAAAGATAGGATGGTCTCAAAATGCTTGTTCACCCGATTGGCCTTATCAAGTGAACGGCGAAGACTGCTAGACCAGGAAGTGTTCTAGCTTTTATTAACTTTATTGTTCATAAACTTAGATAAATCAGAATTTGACACGTTTAAGAGGGCGTTAACAAACCTCAGAAAGTCACTCCTTCACTCAGACATCCAGAGGTTAACTCTTAGTGTGAAGTGCAAATGTTATAACAGTTATGTGAAGCGATTGTTAAAACCTTAATATTAGTCTTATGATGTATGAGTATACTGATATATTAATTTATTAAATCAACAAACACTGATCTGGTGTAGTTTAAGATCTGAAATGAATCATTGCAGGAAAAATATTCATTTTAACACATCATTGATTAATGCATGCATTATTCAAACACTGTGGGATTCAACAAGAGATGATTATAAGACACTTATGCAATTATCACGTTTTAAAATGGTCATTTATGATTCAAGGAAGATGAACTTTATTCAGAGTGAAAATGCAGAAAATCTCATCTTCTGCATGACTTTTGTTCCAGCCAAGATAAGGTAAATGATAAATGACCTGCACTTGTATAGCACCTCTCAGAGTCAGAGGACTCCAAAGTGCAACATCCATTCACACTGATGGTGATGAGCTGCAATGTGGCCACAGCTGTCCTGGGGTGCACTGACGGAGGCGAGGCAGATGAGGTCCCTCCGACCAGCAGGCAGGTGGGTTAAGTGTCTTGCCCAAAGACACAAGAGAATAATTCTCTATCCGGAGCAGGGATCGAGCCTGAAACCTTCCAATTACTGGACGACCCGCTCAACCTGTTGAGCTACTGCTGCCTCGGTAGCTAGGAATAAATACGTGTCCTTTATCTGGTGACAAGGCCTTGTGTAGTGCTTCTTTGGAGGCCAGACAGATGGGATGTTTGTGTCTGCAAATTAAGTTAATTTCTGGTCATTTTTGATTTAAATACTTGGCCTTTGGTATGTTCACTAACACGTCAAATTACTGAATAGATTTGAGCATTAAACATAAGTCCAGTTATGTATTATAGAACTGAATGTTTTGAAATAAATGAAAACCTAACACACACTTTAAAAACAAATCACAAGTGACGTCGAGTTGCGCATAGAGCCTCAGGATGGCGCTGTTTTCTCAGCGACGTCACGAACCCACAGGTCTGCAGCCCTTCCCCACCAAACCAACAAACTGCTGGGCATGGTGTGATGCTTTCAGGTACCGTAGGACATGATGGTTTTCAAAACATTACACTTCTTTACTCATATCCCTTCGTTTTTTGAATAATAGCTGAAAACGTTGATGTACACGTGTTGAAAATAACTAAGGCTGTAAATATAAGCTAAATGCAAAGAGGAAAGAGATCATGTGTTTGCGGAAAGCCGGCTGAGCACTAGGACCTCTCGGTTGCGCTGTCAGCTGACGGGCGCCCAGTCACAATGCTGTTTGACCCCGGAGCGCTTTCGTCTGGCAGGGAGAACCGACGTCTCTGCGTTAAGACGGGTCCATGTCTGAAAAGCCAGACAGACGCTCACATTTCAACAGAAAGACAGCAAGACGCGAGTACGTCGGTCAAGACTGAACAGGTAAACATCCGTCCGTACAGAACATGTATTTTTCTATTTATGTGAAGTTCTCCTTACGAGCCGTCGGTAGACGAGCCCCCTCCCCTCTGATATTGTTGCTTTATCCTCGGCAGCAAGATGGAGTGTGAGTGGAAGCCAGACGAGCAAGGACTCCAGCAGATACTACAGCTGCTGAGGGAGTCTCAGTCGCCGGATACGTCCACACAAAGATCCGTCCAGCAAGTATCCTTTCACGAGTCACTCATGAACGTCGTAATATGCGTTTTATTTGCACTAGCATACCCGAGTATCAACAGGCTAGCTGCTAACACTAGCTAACCGTTTCAAATGTTCACTTATTGGAGACAGACTGGTGCCCTTTTCTCTCATTTCTAAATGCATTTTGATACGTTTAGCTTGATTTTAACAAAGGAAATGCTTCTTATAGTTGACTATCTCAAACACAATGTGTTTTTTGAGTAAGCTAGATGAAAAGCAAACGTCATTAACACTCACTTTGCATTTGCTCATGATATTTAATAGACAGTCCTCGTGAACGCTGGGCGTTTCACTTTGGTCAGGTACATGTAAGCACTTGAATTAGAATTCTTTTCTAATCATAACTGGTATAACAAATGTTATTGCTACTCAGAGGCTTTATTTATCTTAGCCATAATCAGTAAAGATAGAAAGGAGCAAGGAGTTTACACTAAAATGAATACAAAGCAGATGATTGTAAGAACCGGAATAATTCCTGCAGTGCAAATAAAAATTAAAGCTTTGTTGAATGAAGGAAATTAATGAAATTGTGTATTTGCTGCTGTCATTCAAGTTTTTTGGTATTCTCACATTTCCAAGGGGCGCCACAAAATTGACAACATTCAAGTCTTCAAACTCGAGAGGTTTTTGACATTCTCCTCTGATGACCCCTCCAGCCAGATTAAATGGGCAGCGCTAACCCCAGACTCAGAAATGCAGACATAAATAGGGATGAAAGCTGCCTCCAGGTTGTGTGGGTTTCGTATCACAGTTTCGCCTCCTCTAAATGCTTTATTCTCTCGTCATCGAGTGTTGATCTACCATGGGTTCATGCTCTGTTATTGTGTGGCTGATCCTGAATGACTTGCTTATGTAACCTTTCATATGTGCAGCATCATTAGCTCATGGGCGATGCTGCCCTAAAGACGCCATCTGGCTGGCCACTAACAGCCTCCAGTCACTGCAAACGACGTATTTATGACCCCCCCCCCCCCCCCCCCCACACACACACACACACACAAACATACATACACACTCCTGTGCCATTATGCTGTTACATTACACCACTCAGACACATAGGCTGCCATTTCATCATAATGTGGATGGGAAGAAAAGCTGAACATCCTGTAGCATCCTCGCTGTTCCACAGATCGGTGCATGTTTTCCAGAGATTTAACATCCAGTGTGTGTGTACCGTTGTGTTCCTCATCCATTTTTCTCCAGAGACTGGAGCAGCTGAACCAGTATCCAGACTTTAACAACTATTTGATATTTGTTTTGACCAAATTAAAATCAGAAGGTAAGCAGCCGTTTGCCTGCTTTAGTGTGTTGTGTTTTAGGCATGTGTTTTCTTTGTGCTGCTGATCAGTGACAGCTCTGTGTGGCCATGACTTGAGTGACCCGATGGCGTCTTTGCTGGAGATGATGTTGTGTTCTGAATGTGGGTCACTCTAATTTTAGACCTAATTCCTGGCATAGATGCAAGTTTTATCTCGACTGTCTGCAAAAGTACACTACCCAAGTAGTGTGGAGATGTTTTAGAAGGTTGCGGCACTGTTAGATGTTAAAAAGCAATAGGTTTGAATAGTTTAGGTTAGATTTTACAAATCAAACAAAAGAAATGCTAAATGGCTTGTATTTGTATAGCGCCTTCTTAGGATTCTACAACCCCCAAGGCGCCTCACCACACAATCAGTCATTCACTCATTCTCACACACCAGTGACGATGAGCTACGATGTAGCCACAGCTGACCTGGGGACCGGTGGCGCCAGCGTAGGGCAGGCCTCGTCTCTGTCAGTGCGCCCAGGCCCAGAGCAGCTGTGGCTACATCTTAGCTCATCATCATCAGTGTGTGAGTGGATGGATGACTGAGTTGTGAAGCGCCTTGGGGGGGTGGTAGGATCCTAAGGCCATTTACCGTGCGCGTGTGTGTAATGTAGATGTAGTAAGATCTAATTGGAAAGAAGTGATTGTTGTTGTGATTGTTCCAGCTAAAACATGTTTTGCTTCTTCCCCCATCTCTCTTAAGATGAACCGACTCGTTCCCTAAGCGGTCTGATTCTGAAAAACAACGTGAAAGCTCACTATCAGAACTTCCCCAATGGCGTCTCTGATTTCATCAAAAGCGAGTGCCTCCAAAACATCGGAGACTCCTCCCCCCTCATTCGGGCCACCGTGGGTAAGTTGTGTTTGTGCTAGTGTTGTCAAAAAAATCGATACCTAGATATAAATCGATACTAAACGTGGTATCTAAATTAGATAATCCATCCCTGTGGTATCGATATTATGGACTATTATACACAGCCTTCTTCAAGTACACCGACACGCACGACAGCCAGATGCCGTAAAGCAGCCTCCGCCTCCCAGACAAACAGAAGAAGACGACCCCGCATGGCTACATTGCAATTTCCCACGCGAGTTGTCTCCGATCCAAGATTTGTCTGCCAAATAAATAAACAAAAACATAAACAGCGAATTTGGGAGGCGCTTCACAGCCCAACTTAATTAGCATACCAAGTCCGACACGTAGTTGTATATTCACGCTTATGCGCTTAAAGGAAACTCCCGTTTATTGCAACCCGGACTTAATTTCTAGCATGCAGTACGTTTGTTTACTCACGCTGACAACTTTGGTGCTACTTGGATTCCCCGGGGTATTTACCGTAGGTCCATTGGCGAATCGCCGTCAGTGTATATCCATATAACGGGTGCGGACGGGCACCCATGGTGCAGCCTCGAAGTAAGACATTATCTGCACCAGAACATCTCAATGTCAAAAGGTTTTGTTAGGAATCATTAACGTGATTCCCCTGTTCGTTTGGAGCGGGTCTGGGATTTCTAGGCATGAACCGACTAGCTGCGGCTAATCTAACCGGCGCTTTTAATGACGTCACTGCCGTGCGCCAGTCTGTTTTTATTAAGATTACCGGTAGATGTACCTTTGTCCTACTGTGGAGAAATTTGTTTTCTCCCTTTATTGACCAACAGAGTTGTTCAAAAGTACAGAACAAAACATATGGCATTACATCTTATGACAAAAATGCACCTTAAACAGAGTTTAAGCAGCAAAACATCACTCTGCAAATAGTGTATATATAGTGAGACAATTCATGATTTAAAGTGTTAACTTTCACCAGTTTTTGTATGCACGTTTTAAAAAATGCTGATACTTGAAAGGTTTAAGCACTTTATACACTTAATTCTTAACATTTAATTTTTGCAATATAAATTGAGGAATGTTATTTTTTGAATAAACTTGTTCGATAAATGGGTGTTTTTAAATAGTATCGAAATCGAGTACCGAGTTTTTTTTCAAGTATCGAATCGAGTTTGAAATTTTAGTATCGTGACAACCCTAGTTTGTGCACACACGCTTAATATGACATCGGTTTTACACAGCCGTTATTATAACAGGTGGTAGTAGAACGCTAACACCAGAACAAGGTTGACTTGAAGGATAACATGATGATTAAATCTATTCAGGGTTTTTTTAAGTATCACAACATGTTTAAGCCCGTATTGAAATGCATCAGAACACGTTAACAGCATTTTACACCAGACTGTAAATGGAAGTGGCTCCTGCTTGAATGTTTCTTTTCATTTTCTCATTGTTTATATCGGCAACAAAGTGAGCAGCAACTTCTCAGTTTTAACTGACTTTTTTCTCCCCAAAGAACAAAACAGCAGTAATTGTAGAGAGCTTTTGAAAAACCTGTAGCTGAATGATGTTTCGGACAGCTCTGCATGCTTGTCCTTCACACCCCTGTCCAGAATAAAGAACAGGATCCAGTTCAAAAGTGGGACAAAATCAAAGTGCAGCAGCTGTTTAATGGGATTTGATGACTGTGTAAAAAATGAGCTGGTTACTGTGTCGTCCTAAGCTGGGTTTATTTACATCACTATTTCTGACTCATTAGGTTGTAGAATAACAAAAAAAAAGTCAGTTATTATAGGAGGAGCTTAAATGTAAAAAGAAACTCAGTAGGAATCTAGCTTGAAACTGTTAAACGTTAGTAGAAACACTAAGATCTAAATATCTGAGAACACTGAGGCATCATTGGTTTTTTTGTGCAGCCTGACAACATTGCAGGTTCTAAAATGTGACTCAATTCCAACGTCTCGCTATCGTCTCATTAAATTAATTAGCTTTAATAATCTGAATGTATTTAGATGGTTGTGTAGAGATGGTAAATGGCCTGTATTTGATATAGCGCCTTCTAGAGTCATGGAACCCCCCAAGGCGCTTTACAACACAATCAGTTATTCACCCATTCACACACACATTCACACACTCGTGGGGATGAGCTACGATGTAGCCACAGCTGCCCTGGGGCGCACTGACAGAGGTGAGGCTGCCGAGCACAGGCGCCACCGGTCCCTCCGACCACCACCAGCAGGCAAGGTGGGTTGATTGTCTTGCCCAAGGACACAACGACAGTGACAGACTGAGCCGGGCTCAAACCTGCAACCTTCCCATTACAGGGTGAGCACTTAACTCCTGTGCCACCGTCATCGCCAGAGATATACATTTTTTAATGTTGGTTTTTATTTTGTCTTCTGAAAATCAAAAGGTGGCGACCTCACAGCTGCGGTTCAGTTTCATGTTGATGCTCCGTATGAAGCTGATCCATCTGCCTGTGTTTTTTTGGCAGGAAGGGCTTAAGACCAAAAAGGGCATTAGCCAAAAGACAGCTGTACTTTAAAGTTATTTTTTCCTACATATTTGTGGCTCACTAGCTTTTACCATTCTGTGTTTTCTGTTCATTTTTATTAAATCTCTTTTCACAGGCATCCTCATCACCACCATCGCATCCAAAGGAGAGCTGCAGAACTGGCCCGAGCTTCTGCCTAAACTCTGTCTGCTCCTGGATTCTGAGGACTACAACACGTGTGAGGTGAGGACAAACACGTCAGGTGTCCAGGCTTGCGCTCACGATGCCTAGTCGGTGCATTTCTACAGGGTATCTGCGGGTCCTTAAAAAGTCTTAAACAGTCTTAAATTAGCTTTTCCAAATTTAAGGCCTTAAAAATCCTTAAAAATGACAAATAATCCTTAAATACAGTTTCCAGAGGTCTTAAATTGCCAAAGACCCAATAAACAAGATTCTTTCATTTCTATAAAAATTTCGTGAATTTCTAGTTAGTGTTCAGCGTTTTTTGTGTACGACATTGGCGTAAGCGGAACCGTACACGTTCAGTTGGTTGTGAAAGGGGGCTATTTTTAGATGAGCACGTTAGCTGGTTAAGCTAGTGGGAGCTTGCGCCACGGGGAAGTGGAAGTTTAATGGTAACTGGATGGCTAATCCCATGATCATGGCGTGGTTAGCACCGGTTCCAGGCAATAGCTGGAAATTATAGCTTAAATTTAATTTTTAAAAATGATAAATGACCCGCACTTGGATAGCGCCTGTCAGAATAAGGACTCCAAAGCACTTTACACTACAGTGTATCATTGATCCATTCATACACTGATGGTGATGAGCTACGATGCAGCCACAGCTGCCCTGGACACAACCCTACACACCAACAACACTACCCAAGGACACAACAGCAGAATTCTCTGTCTGGAGCCGGGATCAAACCTGCAACCTTCCGATTACTTGACTACCCGCTCAACCTGTTGAGCTACTGCTGCCTTGCTTAAATAGCTTAAATTTGGTCAAAGTGGCCTTAAAAAGTCTTAAATTTGGCTCCCTTAAACCTGCAGATACCCTGTTTCTATGTCAAACACCAATTCTTGTGCCCGCCCATCTTCTGCTCAATAACATTGAGACAAGTGTGATGTTTGTTATTTCTGTAAGACGGAAAGGAAAATGCAAAAGCAGAAATGGAAACATCTGACCGTGTGTGCAGTGTGCTTGTTTATTGGTTTATTAATTTTCTGTGGACAGAGAGCTGGGTCGGCCATAAAGCAACATCTGGATGGAATCCTGCTGGCCAGATGAGCTTAAGGCAGCCTCACAGCTGGAGAAGCAGCCACAGATTATTCATCGTCAGTCTCTTTCTGTCCTCACCATATGACCCCATTTTCTGGCATTTCTCACATAATCACCTAGAATAGCTTTTTGCTATGAGCACATCTGTAAGAAAGGTCTTTTTTTGTAATCTCTAGTCCAGTTTTTTGGACTTAAAGGAGTGTCTTTATCTTTCTGATCGCTCCACAGTTTAATACTTGTCAGTTCTCGAGCGCTTTGCAACAGAAGGCTCTAAATATTCTCAGATCTCACACACTACAATATGTAACAGTGACGGCATAAATCCCAGTAAAGTGGTTTGTTTGTGTAACACTACCCCACCCACACTCTGTCTCCCTGCGTTTTGCTGCCTTTATTCATGATGTCAGAAATCATCAGAAAGCCTTTATTGTTGCTCTAGGTGAAACCAGGTGATATATCTGACATGGCAGATCAAACTAAATTAAAATGAGATATAAAAACATGTACCTGGAAACAGTGATGTGCAGATTGCTTGATGCAGCAGCTGTGAGCACTGTTCAAGTCCTAGTGGATTCATTGCACTGATCATTGAGATTTTTGCTTTTTTGCGGGAGTTTTAGTTCGTTTATTGTCCTGATAGCTGTGAGGGTAAAGCTAGATCAGCTACCGGTGTGGGCGTAGAAACGGGCTGAGCTGTCAGCTGGTCTGTGAGTGTGTGGAGGGTAATTGTGTCCTTGTAACTTTTAGGGAACAGTAATTTAAGGCAGAAACTCTGCGTTTCCCCCATGTGGCACCATGTCCACGTTCTCTGATAAAGCTGATTCAGACTTAGATTTAGGTCAGCTATTTACTGCAGAGGATCTTGGTGTGTGTGTGTGTGTGTGTGTGTGTGTGTGTGTGTGTGCGTGCGTGTGTGTGTGTGTGTGTGTGTGTGTGTGTGTGTGTGCGCGTGCGCGTGCGTGTGTATGCGTGTGCGTGTGCGCGCGTGTGTGTGTGTGCGTGTGTATGTGTGTGTGTGTGAAAAGGCTTAACACTAAACAACCAAATATAAGAACCCTTTAGCGAAGTTGCTGCATTTTTGAAAAGCAGCTTGGAGGCTGGAAAGCTTCTTAATGTCTGATTCTCAAGATTAAGTTGGTGCCGGGAAGAAAATGTCTTAAATTAGTTAAAGACCAAGTTCACTAATTTCTTTAAACACACATGCAGAGGTCTCTAGTATAAATAATTGGCTTGTGAGTTGATTTGTGCGGGGAAAGAGCTCTGCCGCTCCTGTTTCAGGAACTAGAAGTTAGCGGGATTTGGAGTCTTACTCGGTCGTATTTCCTGATAGCCAGACGTCTCATCTCCAGTGGTGCAAAGAGTGGGTATGCAGAAACGCTTTCTATGCCCAGATTGTAGCGAGCTGTTATTTATAATTAATATTAAGTGAATGCTCTAAAACTACAGGTGATGCAAAGTAAGATTAAATGAGCCTGAATGTTTTCTCCCACAGCTCAGCTCTGGTAGAATTAAGCAGATGTCTGCTTAAACTGGACTATATCAAATATTAAAAAGTGTTCACAGAAAACTAATCTTTTATAATAATAAAAAAGCATATTAATCATTTCTAATTTTAATATTGATTTTATTTCATTTCTAAGAATCAGAATATTCTGATTGGTGGTACACGATATTATTAATAACAGGTCTGGATCTAAAGCGGGTCGGTCTGAGGCATAAAACTCTCCCCTGGGCCTAAAGCCCTGCATATATATTTATAACAGCAGCTTTATTCCATTTTGTTCCTTAAATTGAGTCACATAGTTTTGCAAGTTCTGAACACTCACACGTTCAACAGCGAGCTCTGCCAGCTGATTGGTTCTTTTGGTAACTGTAGTGACATCGGTTCAGTTCTGGTCCTGAGCAGCATGAATGCATCGGTGGGTTGGGGCGACGGTGGCACAGGAGTTAAGTGCTCGCCCCGTAATCGGAAGGTTGCAGGTTCGAGCCCCGCTCAGTCTGTCGCTGTCGTTGTGTCCTTGGGCAAGACACTTAACCCACGTTGCCTGCTGGTGGTGGTCGGAGGGACCGGTGGCGCCAGTGCTCGGCAGCCTCGCCTCTGTCAGTGCGCCCCAGGGCAGCTGTGGCTACATTGTAGCTCATCACCACCAGTGTGTGAATGTGTGTGTGAATGGGTGAATGACTGAATGTGTTGTAAAGCGCCTTGGGGGGTTCCAGGACTCTAGAAGGCGCTATATCAAATACAGGCCATTTACCATTTTACGCTGTAATTGGTGTTCAAAATGAATTAAAGAAAGGACAGATAACACTGTTAACTCAAATATATCATTATACTACTATAAACATGTAAAGATACTTTATTATACATTCTAACCAGCCTGTTACTACTTCTTTTCTCAAAATGATGCTTTTAAATATATAATTTTCAAAGTTTTCTTCCAGTGGGGCATGCCCCCATGCAGCCCCCCCCCCCCCCCCCCCCCCACCCCCCGAGTAGTTCAATAATCTTTTTCATGTCTGCTCTTTGTTGCTGGTGGACACCTTCTGGTGGGGTATAAGAACTGGAAGATATTTCAAATACCAACATTAGCCTGGCCGGTGAGTAAGCAAAGCCAGGCAGCACACCAGGCTTATAAAGCGCTGGGAAACCCCTGAATTCCCTAATTTCCATGACGTCCTATCTGGAAACCTGCTGGTGTGCCTGACTTTATATCAGAGGATCATCAGCCTGTCTTTCCACCCTTAGACGGGGATAGACAGTGATGCAGGTTAAACCTAAACACTGCTTTTGCTTTTGATTTAAAACATTGTGTAGTGATTAGCCAGAGTTTATTTTTGTTCCCTAAAATAAATGTTCGTGGAGAAGTTACAAATGAGTTGTGGTTGGTTGGGAATGTTCACAGAAACCAAGCTAAATGAAGCTAGACCAGGTGAAGATTTGATCTAAACATTTCCAGCATTTTTCTGTAGCTTCTTGATGTACTTGCCATTCTTGGCAGCAAAATCATTATGTTGGGTTTTACGAATTGGCCATTTTCATGAATAAGTCATCCTGACACCACCACTTGGACTCTTATCTTCTTTGGGCATGTTGCTTGAGACCCGTCTACGGTTTCTAGGCTTTGAAGCGGTGTAAAAAGTCTCCCTGGCAGCATCAGAGTTTCAGCCCTTCAACAAGTTCCTGTTTGTGTTTGGAGGAAGAGCCTCTAGTCATGTTGGAGGACTCTACTGCTCTTCTGCTGCTCTATAAAAAGTGACCAGCAGGTGTGTTGGATGTCAACGTCGGCGTATGGCTTTATATAGGTTTAGCCTGAGCTGTTTGACTGTTTAGATTAATGGCAGCTGGCACGTGGCAACAGTCATGTTCTCGAGGTCAGGTCACTTCCTGTATGAAACAAGTAAATGTGCTGATGTTTGTCTCGGTGCTTATGCACAGGACTAATATTCTTGTTTTACACATTTCCAGGGCTGTTCAGTAGTCTGAAAGCATCTTTCTGCTCCGGCTTGTCGTCACCTGCAGGGTTTCAGTCCTGCACCAAATGACCTTGAGTTGTGAGCAGAAAGCTGTTCAGGACTCTCATTTCTCTGTCCTTCTCCACCCTCACACAAACACGCTGCTGTTGTTTTCACGTCACTGAGAGCGGTCTTTTGACTTGCCCTTTATGTTTGTTTGTTTTTTACATAAGACAGATTACGGAGCAGTATTCCAGCATGTAGTTTTGAGCATTTTGGCAGATTTGCTGTCCTCGCAGCTAAATGTGGAATAAATTATGTGGTGTATTATCAGTTGTGTGCTTTTCTGCTCCATCACATCTAAAATCCGATTTTCTTTCTTTCTAATTCAAAGCCTCAGAACTTGTAGGTCTCATTTTTTTCTTCCTGCTAAAATTTCATAAAGGCTTTTCCATTATTCCGGTTAGTGCGGCACATTCCAATGAAGGACATTAATTCAGAATTTCCCCGTCTCTGCCGTTCATGACCTTGGCACTCTACCTTCTTTGTCTTATTTCGTATTCTCCACATTTTTTGTGACTGCTCTGTGTCTGTCGACTAAAAGGGATGCCGACGTGGGAGCGGTTTCCATGGAAACACATTTCACACAGCACCACTGTCTGTGCTGTTTCTTCTATCTACTTCCAGGCTGTTTTATTTATTTTTTCTGGGAAATGGAAAAAGAGAGAGACACTGAATTTCGCAGAACATTGTGAGCATGTATACTAAACAGATTTCAAGCAGTTAATATTAAGAAATGGATTGTTTCTGTGTGTGTGTGTGTGTGTGATTGTTTTTTTTTTTTTTGGCCAAACCATGTGACGTTAGCTGAGGGAGTCCTGTTAGCTCAATCCAGTAAAAAACATGGATTCCTCTGATACAGAGGAAACTGTAAATGTTTATAATTCTACTTATGATGGACCAAAACCATAAAGTTATGAGTTTGCTGCACGCCCCAGAGAGCAGAGACAAACCAGAGGGAGAAACCATCGGCCAAAGCAGAGAGATTGTGGAGAGCAGCGGGGGAGCAGCAGGTGTCTTTTGAGTTAACGATGCTTGCTTAAACTCGTGTGCCAACATCACAATATTGTACAGATTGCCATCATGTACCAGACAATTAAAATAGTATCAGTCAGTTAACATAATATACCAATGAGTGTCTGTCAGCTGTCTCATACTCATTAATACTCGTTCACGTAACGTAGTTTGGCGCTTAGAGAGAGAGAGGGAGAGAGAGACGCCTGTCATCCGGTTCTGGAGCTCATGCGGGCTTCTGTGAGCTGGATCCGACCCAGACACCAGTGAGCCAGTCAAGCTGGTATTTGAAATGCTGCACATGATCCTTTCCTGGAGGTCCATGGCGGTTCTGATCTGGTTCTGACCCAGACACCAGCTTGACTGGCCCGTTGAGCTGCGCATCTCTTCTAGTGGTCGATTCAGACCTGGTTCTGACGGTAATCTGAGCTCCAAAAATCTGTATTTATTTTTTTAGACCCCCTCCACGGGTCTCCGGAACCCAGCATGGACCTCCCTGTCTCGGTACCGACCGATACGGGCGGCAGAAGTCCGTCTTTTCAGCTGCACAAATGCACTCAGGCTCGGAGATAGAGGCGTTGTTTCTCATACCTGGAAACCCATGGACTCGATGTCCAGACAGGCTGGAGTTGGTACAGCCTTCACAAACTATAGTTTATCAACATGAACACAATCCAACACTAGTAAACACACACACTGACTGGATAACATGACCTCTCTACCCTAAAACTACCCACTCTCCACACTGAGCTGAGGCAGCGCCGAGCTTCTTGCTCCCCTTGGTTACGTCAGAGGTTCAGATTTAGAAAGCAGTGCATTTATAGAAGCTTTGGTGAAGGCCACTTTTTACTCAAAAAAACTCTGCCGTTGTGTATTTTAAAACTAAATATCCACAATAAGAATTTCAAGTAGTATTTTTTGGACAGCATTTTATATGAATTAGAAAAAAAATTTTACCTGCAATTTTCTCTTTAAGATTAATCAAAAAGGTGACCGGAAATCCCAAAATGCTTTTTGTCTCTAAAGGCCACACCTGCAGTCTCACCTGCCTTATTCGTATTTCTGCTGCTCAACAGTATTTTGAGATCCAAACTCCTCCACTTGCAACTGGTTTGCAGAGTTATTACATTTCGCCGTGCGTTCACACAAACTGGATTTATTCTGTGCCTATTTGAATTTTCCCTTCTCACATTTCCTTGTCTCCAGGGAGCATTTGGAGCCCTGCAGAAGATCTGTGAAGACTCTGCGGAGATCCTGGACAGTGACATGCTGGATCGTCCTCTTAACATCATGATCCCCAAATTCTTGCAGTTTTTCAAGCACAGCAGTCCCAAAATTAGGTATCATCACTTTATTTATTTTTAATTGACACCTTTCATGGTTATTGTCTTTTAGGAGATCTACAATGGTGCTAATAAAGTGTTTCTCAACAGTTTTCACTTTCATACCAATACAGCAGATTGTCTAGTTTGTTTTCGCTTTTTTTTTAAAATATATAATTCAAATTCCACACTTCTTTGTGTGAATTATAACATGTTAGGCTCTAAGTTAGATAGAAGACTCTAAATCATCTTCTGTAGCGTTCAGTAGGCTCGCAGGGAGCTGGTTGCACTGAGAGACAGAGGACACTCTGGACAGGTTACCAGTCCTAGCCTGGCCTGCCAGACTCGTCCTCTGTTTAATTCTGCACAGAGAAAGAGTCTGGTAACTCACAGGCAGATGAGGGGCGGGACTAGACAGCTCAAAAGTAACCAATCAGAAAAAAGTTGGAAATCCTGACTGTACCGCACGACACTGTAGTTTTTTAGCTGTAGTTAAAAAAAAAGGCGCCTGGCGACGGCGCAAACATTTTTTATTTATTTATTTATTTTTTTAAGAAATGCTTTTAGCGCTTCTACTTGTGGTTTTAAAGACATTCTAGTCATTTAGAACAGAGGAAAGAGCCGCGGCGAACTCCGGCGCTGAGCGTCGCTGTGTGTGTGACGTCCACAACGCTGTAGTTTTTTTTTTAGCTGTAGTCAAAATGGAGTCTGGCGACAACACAAACATATTTCTTTAGAAGAAAGGCTTTTAGCGCTTCTACTTGTTGTGTCCAAGTCATTTAGAACAGAGGAAAGAGCCGCAGCGAACTCAGTCGCCACGTTCGACAAACTCGGCGTTATGGTGTGTGACGTACGCTACTCAGCGCTGATTGGCTCGGTTAGAATTCTCACGGGGTGGGGTTATTTAAATAGGAGAGTTCCCAGACCCTTTCTCTGTGCAGAAATAAACAGAGGATGAGTCTGGCAGGCCATCCCTGAGGCACACAGAGGCACATAGGACACCCCCCCTCACACCTGAGGACGCTTTAGAGCAGGGCGGTCCAAACTTTTCAACCCGAGGAACAAAATCAACTAGTTTAAGGTCCTCTCAGGGGCAAACATTAGATTTTTCTTTCATCTAAAATGAAAACAATTCAGTAACACATGAAATAATTCCATGTTGTCGTTCTTTTTTAAAACACAGAAACGGTTTTGTTACCTGTTGTTGAAGCTACGTTTCGCCGACGGCTGCCGGCTTCTTCAGGCTGACGCTGATGGTGGCGCGTCACTTCCTTCTCCGTTTATCTGCGGGCAGCAGAGGACGTTGTCACCCTCTGCTGCCCGCTCTCCCCTCTCCGACGATGCAGCCCCATGCGCGGTCCAGCGTGTAAACTCCGTCGTCCCTGTTCACGTAGCGTCAATAACAGGTAACAAAACCGTTTGTGTTTTAAAAAAGAACGACAACATGGAATTAGAAATAACGCACAGCAAGAACACACCAAAGACATGAAATAATTTAATGAAATTGAACAGCTATTCTTTTGTTGAAAAGATTTATAAAACTTTTTTGATAAGAGGCACAAACAGGGTCTCATGCCTTTGCCCTAATGAGACAGGGTTTCCACCAGCGCTTTATAAGCCTGGCGGGCCGCCAGGCTTTGCTTGGCCACCTGCCAGGCTAAGCGTCATGCCCCGCCCCCCTCCCTGACCCTACGTGTCTGTTTACATGAACAACACAACGAAACTAGAGCCCTCCGTCAGCTGATACTGGTGAGAAACGGCAGCGGAACGTGTGCCGCCACCGCTCTCACGGAGGAGCGCTGCTGCACGGAGACTATTGTTAGCCTTTTCTATAAATGTCTTGTCAGAGCTGTCAATGTCTTCTCCCTTAAACGTTACGTATGTCTTTTTTTTAGAGTGCCATAGACTGCTTTCATAGCGTTCAACCAGTTGAAGGGATTCTCAAGTGGCGGTTACTGTGTTGCAGGTCTCATGCCATCGCTTGTGTCAACCAGTTCATCATCAGCAGGACTCAGGCGCTCATGCTTCACATCGACCCTTTCATCGAGGCAAGAAAACATCAAATTTAAATATTTCTGTTGAATGTAAATTTAACTGCATTGCTCTATTTTTTATTTGTTTTCATTTATTAGCCTTATTATCATTTAACACGGTCCCTTGCATTTTTGATAGAACCTGTTTGCTCTGGCAACTGATGAGGAGCCAGAAGTGAGGAAGAACGTTTGCAGAGCTCTTGTCATGCTACTGGAGGTTCGCCTCGACCGACTCCTGCCGCACATGCACAACATCGTAGAGGTGAGCATGTCTGACGCCAAACCCAACTAAAGAGAAGTGCATGAAGTTTCACTTTGACTCCTAAACAACAACAAAAAAATGTCACAGCCGACAAATGAGGACGCCAAGGATCCTTTTGAGCCGGTTCCATGTGAAATCCAGCAGATACAAATATTTGTTAGAACTGCAGATGTTCTCATTAAAATCACAGTGGTGTACAGCACACTCCTAGGAAACGTGTTTACAGATGGAGCTTTTTAAAAGACACGTTTAGAAGTTACTAAGCAACAAACGATGTGTTTGGTTTTGGTCAGTTACAATGTTGTTTTCGTTAACAAAAACGATGACGAATTGGTTTCGTTGATGACCCTCTTTTTCGTAACGAAAACAAGGCGCTGACGAGCTAAAAATAGCTCTTTAGTGACTGAAACACGACGAGACGAACGGGAGTTTTCGTTAACGAGCCGAGACTAGACGAAAACTATGCTCTAAATGCTCATTTCTGCCTGTCTCACATAAGCTAAACGTAACAGCGCTGCTGCTGCTGTCTGTGTCCTCTGCTCAGACCAGACTCAGCAGCTGAGTGAAGCTGGCTCCCCACCCACACCAGAAAGCACTAACCACTCTATTTGCGTGGATTTCTGGTGTGGGTTGGAAGCCAACATCAGCTCGGCTCAGCGCTTCCCTGCCGCGGGAACGCTCAGCTGCTGTTTGACACTACTACGAGCGACGACGTTGCTGCATTTAAATATATCTGTAATATTAACACATTTCTTATCTGTGTGCTTCCTGAAAAAGACATGCTTTTGGGCAGATAAATGAAAGAAATTGTTTTTTTAACAGGTTTTGTCTGAGCGCGTTTAAGATAAATGTTTTAAAGTCAGTGTGTCAGGATTATTGTCTCTGCTCCCTGGTTCCTAATAACGGGTCACATTCCTGCTTTTTAAGACGACAGCATAACAGTTTAGGCCCATCTAAATGTTTATGAGCATCTCTGCTGATGCTCAAGAGCAGAACTGGGTTATTTATATTAATTCTGTAGGCTCGTGAAAACTCACAACACTGCAGGTCTGTAGAAGACATTACTGCATTTAAGCAGGTGGAATTTGCCACAATATACATTTAAAGACACTAAGATGGAGGTTTGATTACTCAAATAATAAATTAACACATTTCTTTATTTCAATTTAAATGTTTTGTAGAATACTTTGTATGCTCCCTAAGAGCAAATTGCAGGAAAATGTTTTTTTCTAATTCATATAAAATGCTGTCCAAAAAATACTATTTGAAATTCTTATTGTGGATATTTAGTTTAAAAATACATAACGGCAGAGTTTTTTGAGTAAAAAGTGGCCTTTCTCAGCAAAGCTTCTATAATACACTGCTTTCTAAATCTGAACCTCTGACGTAACCAAGGGGAGTAAGAAGCTCGGCGCTGCCTCAGCTCAGTGTGGAGAGTGGCTAGTTTTAGGGTAGAGAGGTCATGTTATCCAGTCAGTGTGTGTGTTTACTAGTGTTGGATTGTGTTCATGTTGATAAACTATAGTTTGTGAAGGCTGTACCAACTCCAGCCTGTCTGGACATCGAGTCCATGGGTTTCCAGATATGAGAAACAACGCCTCTATCTCCGAGCCTGAGTGCATTTGTGCAAATTTCTGGAGCTCAGATCACCGTCGGAACCGACCACCAGAAGAGACGTGCAGCTCAGCGGGCCAGCTGGTGTCTGGGTCGGAACCAGATCAGAACCGCCACCTGGACCACCCGGAGAGGATGCACAGCTTTTAAAAATACCAGCTCAACTTGCTCACTGGTGTCTGGGTCGGATCCAGCTCACAGAAGCCCGCATGAGCTCCAGAACCGGATGACAGGCGTCTCTCTCTCCCTCTCTCTCTAAGCGCCAAACTACGTTACGTGAACGAGTATTAATGAGTATGAGACAGCTGACAGACACTCATTGGTATATTATGTTAACTGACTGATACCATTTTAATTGTTTGGTACACGATGGCAATCTGTACAATATTGTGATGTTGGCACACGAGTTTAAGCTAGCATCGTTAACTCAAAAGACACCTGCTGCTCCCCCGCTGCTCTCCACAATCTCTCTGCTTTGGCTGATGGTTTCTCCCTCTGGTTTGTCTCTGCTCTCTGGGGCGTGCAGCAAACTCATAACTTTATGGTTTTGGTCCATCATAAGTAGAATTATAAACATTTACAGTTTCCTCTGTATCCGAGGAATCCATGTTTTTCACTGGATTAAGCTAACAGGACTCCCTCAGCTGATGTCACATGGTTTGACCCCCCAAAAAATAGTTGATATGTGACATAGATGTTGCTTTAGGCTGATAAGTAAAAGGCATGCTACGTGAATTGTCTTTGTCTTCGTTTGTCCTTATGGCAGTACATGCTCCAGAGGACTCAGGACCAGGATGAGAATGTTGCCCTAGAGGCCTGTGAGTTCTGGCTCACGCTAGCAGAGCAGCCGGTGTGTAAGGAGGTGCTGTGTGGACACCTCTCCCGGTAAGGACACACACACGCACGCACACACACACACATGTTGGTGTAACTGAACTTTTAAGAGCTGATGATTTATAAGGACCTTGGCAGTGAGACAATATTGGATGATTCAGATTCTTAGTGTCGACCTCAGATGTTGCATCGGTCACCAAAGTGCCTCATTGACCTCAAACTAGAAATCACATGTGAGGGATTGCCTGTGAGCTTCAACCTACCCTTGCCCCCTTTTTTTCCTCATGATTGTATCTCCTGCTTCTTCTCCAGGCTCATTCCTGTTCTTGTCAACGGGATGAAGTACTCCGAGATTGACATTATCTTACTCAAGGTCAGTTTATAGCCCCTCATATGTGGACCAGATGAACTGCTTCATGACACGCGGCCGAGTTAAGTTGTCTGGACCGTGCTAATAAATCTGAGTCGTGTTGGTTCTTTGGACAAGCACCAACCAATAACTCAGGTTTTAATCAGACACCTGCAGCACAAAGTCTAACCCTGTCCACTGGTTGTCAGGGGGACATCGAGGAGGATGAGGCCATTCCAGACAACGAGCAAGACATCAGACCACGCTTCCATCGCTCCCGCACGGTCGCCCAGCAGCACGAGGGAGATGGGATTGATGAAGATGACGATGAGGACGACGAGCTGGATGATGACGACACCATCTCTGATTGGAACCTGCGTGAGTTTGATGGTCATCCTCCTGAGGCGTGATTTATTATCTGTCCTGTGGTTTTTCCTGAGATCATGAAAAGAATGTGTCGATTATTTGTCTTGTGTTTGCTCTTTATGTTCGTGTGTGTGTGTGTGTGCGTGCGTGCGTGCGTGTGTGTGTGCGCGTGTGTGTATGCGTGTGTGTGTTTCTCTTTGGAATGTTAGGAAAGTGTTCTGCAGCAGCTCTGGACGTTTTGGCCAACGTGTTCAGGGATGACCTGTTGCTGCACATTCTGCCCCTGCTCAAAGAGCTGCTCTTCCATCCTGAGTGGGTGGTGAAAGAGTCGGGCATCCTGGTGCTGGGGGCCATCGCTGAAGGTACGAAGGCAGAAACTGAAACCAGCAGGAGAAAAACCTGCTAGGGATCACATCGTTTTTCCTTTTTCTCCAGGCTGTATGCAAGGCATGATTCCTTACCTGCCTGAGCTCATCCCGCATCTCGTCCATTGTCTGTCCGACAAAAAGGCACTGGTGCGATCCATCACCTGCTGGACTTTGAGCCGCTACGCTCACTGGGTTGTCAGCCAGCCTCCAGATGTTTACCTGAAGCCTTTAATGACCGAGCTGCTCAAGCGTATTCTAGATAGCAACAAGCGAGTTCAGGAGGCCGCATGCAGGTGAGAAAGTAAATCATCCCTAAACACCTGAGACGTGTTTGACGTATTTCGTCTTTGGTTTTGCTCCTCCAGTGCCTTTGCTACGTTGGAAGAAGAGGCTTGCACAGAGCTGGTGCCCTACCTGGCGTTCATCCTGGATACTCTGGTGTTCGCGTTCAGCAAGTACCAGCACAAAAACCTGCTGATTCTGTATGACGCCATAGGAACTCTGGCAGACTCAGTGGGACACCATCTCAATAAACCGGTATGCAGAACAGCTGCATGTGCAGTTTTGATCAAGCCTCGGATTTTTTCTTGTTTGTTCTGTTTAAGTCTGCTTCCTTATTCTGCCTGTGTTGTCCTGGTGGTGGTAAGTGTTGTAAAAGTAGACCGTCTACCCTGAAAGGTGAAACATATTCTTAGATGTACGTGTTGAATGTGCACAGGAACTTGATGTATATCTGTCAAACCTATTAGGAGTACATCCTGATGTTGATGCCGCCATTGATACAGAAATGGAACCAGCTCAAAGATGAAGACAAAGATCTTTTCCCCTTATTAGAAGTGAGTTTTCTTCTCCAGACAACAAAACTGTGTGGTTTTGATTCATGTTTCATCTCAGTGATGTGGTTTGAAACGTCACTCATCATTTCCCCCTTTAGTGTCTGTCCTCTGTAGCCACAGCCCTGCAGAGTGGCTTCCTGCCCTACTGTGAGCCTGTTTACCAGCGGTGTGTCAACCTGGTCCAGAAGACCCTCGCTCAGGCTATGGTGAGTGTGTAAGGTCACACACTCATCACTCCGTTTATACTGGTCTGTCGGTTACCTTCTGCCACAGGGTGGAAAAGGCTCAGCTCGTTCATACGTCATCAGCTAAAAGCTACCATTCTTTTCCTTCTGTTCTTCACCGCTTAAGCTTCATCAGTCACAACCAGACCAGTATGAGGCCCCAGATAAAGACTTCATGATCGTTGCTTTGGATCTTCTGAGTGGACTGGCTGAGGGTTTGGGAGGCACCATTGAGCAGCTGGTTGCTCGCAGCAACATCCTCACTCTGTTGTACCAGTGCATGCAGGTGATGAGCTGCCCATGTCTTCCCAGAGGAACTCGTAACCGGACCAACATCGCTCACTGTGTTCCCTTTTCTGTCGTCTGCTCAGGATAAAATGCCAGAAGTGCGCCAGAGCTCTTTTGCTCTGCTCGGAGATCTCACCAAGGCGTGTTTCCAGCACGTGAAGCCTTGCATCGGTACGTAACGGGGTGTCTCTGCTAGGCAGAGAGCTGACAGTCAGTCACTGAGTTTTTTTTCTTCTTTCTTTCAGCTGATTTTATGCCAATACTAGGTACTAACTTAAACCCAGAGTTAATATCAGTCTGCAACAATGCAACATGGGCAATCGGAGAGATTTCTATACAAATGGGTGAGCCTCCCCCTTAAGAAAAATCATATTTTTCTTTTTATCTTTGTAATCTTTAGCATAATTTTTTGTTTTCACCTGACCTCCCAGGCCCTGAAATGCAGCCATACATTGCCATGGTGCTGCACCAGCTGGTGGAGATCATAAACAGACCCAATACTCCAAAGACTCTACTGGAAAACACAGGTACCACACGGTGGTAGGGCTGAGCCAGCCAGCCAGGGAGGTGCTCACTCACTCACTCACTCACTCACTCACTCACTCACTCACTCACTCACTCACTCACTCACTCACTCACTCACTCTCACACACACACCCTAGGATGCCTGTCCTGCCCTTTTATAATCTCTGTTCAAACAATCCTTCCCAAAGAATGAGTCTTACAGGTTTTGCTGGTTTCTCTTAAGCGTGTCCAAATATTCCAGGTGTTGATTTGTGACTTGGCGCTGAAGCTTCTAGAGCTGAGGTTTTTTTTTTTTTTAAAGAAACCACAGGCAAGCTCTGCTTCTAAATTCCTGACACCCTTGAAATGGACAAAACCGCGTAAGAGCCCAATCTTTGAGATTACTAATCTGGACTGACGAAGAGATTGGCTTGTGGTTGACACACTTTCTTCACTTCCTAGCCTCATAAAGTCATATGTCTGATCAGGTTAACAGGAATCTATCCAGAATGACTCAGAAAAGGCCTAAAACTAGCTCAGCTTAGAAAAATCGCTCAGCTTTCCTGGTGGTTACACTCTGCTTTTGCTTCATTTGATCTGAAAACCATAAAGTAAAACTCTTAAGTAAAACATACATGCAAGGGTGAAGTGTGACCTGCCAGAGTCATAGATGAAGTAGGGACTCTGTAGATGTTCTCGTTTGTTTGCTGTCAAGTTTACGTGTTGCTTTTTTTTAACTGTTCTCTAAACGTGAATGCATATCTGCCTATAGATGTTAAATGTTGTTGAAAAATGGCCGATGTTTGATGCAGGATACACGATGTGAAACGAAATCTCACAACAACTTATTTTGTTTTCAAATGTCTGAATGACCCTTTTTCTGTGTCGTATGTTTTCAATCAAAAAAATTGAAAACATCTCAGAGAAGATGACATTTTAAAAAGCTGTTTTGGATTTTTCTGCCACGTTTCAGTTTCAAAGCGCCAATGAAAGGCGGTCGTGGCTGTGAGTTGTTGGAGCGCCCCACGGCACTCCCAAGTTTCTCCGATCAGCTGATCCTGCACTGAACTTTACTCTAATGAGCATACCATCTGCTTTCTGCATGTGTCATTGGATTGTTCATAAATGCCTGTTTGTTAATGAGAATGTTGCATAGTTCTGTGTCTCTTAAACCTAGGTCCTCCCTCCTCTCTGCCTCATAAGAACCTGCTGTGCTGGATACTCGTTAGTCTCCCTCCATGTAGTTGGCTTGAAGTAATCTGTCATTTATTTGAAATTAACCAACAAAACTGACGTTTGTTTCTTATGAAAATTAACATTTGTGAGTTTAAGGGAGAAATCTTAAAATCAGACCGGTCCCTTGCACACGCTACACCAGGCGTGGGGAACCCTGGTCCATCGAGGGCCAGTATTCAGCGTATTTTAGTTCCAACCCTGCACCATCACACCTGGTTTCATTCAGCAGGTGATTAACACGCTTCTGCAGAGCCTGATGAGCTGCAGAACAGGTGAACCGACCACTGAATCAGAAGTGTTGGAGCAAAGACGTGCAGGATACCGGCCCCTCGAGGACCAGGGTTCCCCACGCCTGCGCTACACCTTTAGTTGGCGTGCATCTGAAGTCAAACTAATGAACTGATCTGTAGGATTTCTGGAAGCAGAAGCCATTGTTTGCCTTTTCTATGAATGTCTTGTCAGAGCTGTCAATGTCTTCTCCCTTAAACGTTATGTATGTCTTTTTTTTTTAGAGTGCCATATTTTACATTCCTCCCTGTGACCGAAGGGGCAGTAACAGTCAACGCTAGTGAAATCTTCTGTTTTATTATCATACACAGATTCTGTTGATTTATGTCTCTGAGTCTTGTTTTTTCTTTATTTTTTCTCCTCCCCCCTCCTCATTGCTCATGTCTTCGTTGGCGTTTGGTGGTGTGTAACCGTGATTGCGTTACCTTAGCAATAACAATTGGTCGTCTTGGTTACGTTTGTCCTCAAGAGGTGGCACCCATGCTACAGCAGTTTATAAGACCCTGGTGTGTATTATTCAATCTTTTATTTAATTCATCTCCTCTCTGCTCTTCTTCTCGTCTGTCGCCTGTTCCTCCCTTTTCTCCCGCTGTTGCTCTTCTCTTTCCTCCTTCTCTTTCCCTCTCAAAAGAGCTCTTTTTTTACTTTTTTCCTATCAGTTTGTAATCATTTGCCAACCATGTGACTAACCCTGCCCTCTTTTAGGTCCTACTTGTGATTTGGTTGTTTTTTGCCTCAGTAGCACCTTCATTTATTATATATTAATTTGTTTAATTTTGTTTTTTGCCATTGTTAATTGTTGCTAACAACCTAGAAGATGCATGGAATCCGATTTGTCACATGCCTGCTGGATCAACAATGGAGAAAGGATGCCTTTAATGCCGAAGAGCATTCCTAAATCCCTTTCTCCTCTCATAGTCACCCGGCTGCATGACCCTGTCCAAAAACGACCCCCCAGTCCTCTCCAGTCACAAAAATCAGAAAATACAAAGTAATGCTAAGTTCAAGGTGCTATTCGTTAGCTGTTGCTCAACACACTGCTCATAGACCAAAGTAAAGTTCTTAGAAACCTGTGTAGCTGTCTTTAAATGTAAAATGTTGGAATTGCTTTATTCTGTTTTGTGTGCATGCTTGATGTGTTGTAGAACTTGCAGGTCGTGAAGTTTTTCCCCCCACATAGACGTGCTTTACAGCTAAGAAAAAAAAAACAAGCATTGATAATAAAACACAGGATGCAGTAGACGGTTTTATTAGTGCATTTGTGATTAAATGTTCCTGAGAGTTGCTGGATGCTTGTGTTAAGCTTGATGCTGAATTTGGCCATCCCTTGTTGTCAGGTGCACCTCTCTGCGAAACATAAGAGACAATGAGGAGAAAGATTCTGCTTTCAGAGGAATTTGCACCATGATCAGTGTAAATCCTGGAGGCGTGGTGCAGGTGAGGTCCAGCCGTGGTCACCAATCACCTGCAGCTCTTCTCAGTTCAAATGTTGCCTCACGTTTCTTCTGTGGAACAGGACTTTATATTCTTCTGCGATGCTGTGGCCTCCTGGGTAAACCCAAAAGATGATCTCAGAGAAATGTTTTACAAGGTAAATGAAATATTGCATTGCACAAACGATTAAAGATGTAGTCAGATGTTTCCAGTGGTGTATGACGTGTCTCCCACCTGCCTCCTTCATTGATTCTAGGCAGGAATAGCAGCTTCTACGCTCCACGTTCTAATAATATTCCCATCATGTGTCGGATCTATTTTAAATATCAGTGCTTGCTTGGCTACAACTTGGCACAATCCTTTCCTGGTGTTTCATTTCAGATCCTTCACGGGTTCAAGAACCAGGTGGGCGAGGAAAACTGGAGACGCTTCTCGGATCAATTCCCAATGCCACTGAAGGAGCGCCTGGCAACCTTTTACGGGGTGTAACGGTTTCCACAGCTCTGTGCCTCATCATCGGGGTCAGTTTCCTCTCTCTGATCAGCTGCCATTAATCAAAATGACACAAAACTCACTTAGTCCAGTAATTAAAAAGGCTATAAATGAGTGTTTTTTTTTAAATTCCCCATGAACAGGTCATTCACTGTGGGAGACATTACAGGGAACCATCCCAGGGAACACGTTACCCTTTACTGGGGGGAAGGGTCTGCCTGCTGAGGGAAGGGAAAGGGTGCCAACCCCTCCCCGACAGGGTGGGAGGGAGGAGGTGATAGCTGCAGTTCTCAGCACCTCCTCACGCACAAGCTAGTGGGGAAATGAGACCGACGGTCCGACCTTTATCCTGGGAGGAACATTCATGTCATCACATCTCAGTCACAAACGGAAACGATCACCTTCTTTTGTCCGTTATTTTATCTTTTCTGAACTTCTGAAGAAAATAATGTAAAAAAAACAAAACAAATGTAAAGCATTTTCTTTTGGGGGGCTGAATTAGGATAAAATGATTCCAAATAAGGTTTTCAGTGCAAAAATGCATTTGTTTATGGGGACTGTAATGAAGAAATCTTGGAGTAACGTTGATTTCTCATCAGGATTTATTCTAGCTTAAAGTTAAGGAGTAGCAGCTAACGCCATGGGGGCATTATAGCAGGTCGAATCCTGGAAAACCCTCGATTTGATCAGCGATCTCCTGTAAAAGATTCTTTTAGCGTTCTAATACTGAAGGCAGGGCAGAGGCTGTGGACTGTGTCACCAGAGAGCACAGTTCGCGAGGCAGCCTTTCCGGCTAATAGGTAGCATGCTTATATTATTGTGGAAAGCTGTTGAACATTAGTACTGTGTGTTGACAGCAGTCATTGCCACTCGATAGGGTTCTTCTTTGATGATGTAATGCATATTTTACAGTACGCTTTGTTTCCTCTGCCAGAGAATTGCAGCAGTTGTCTGTGATGTAGCATGATGGGGTTTACACACTTGGGTCAGGTGCTGTAACATCTTAACTGTGACGTAACGTTGGAGTGCATCTTTTTTGTTCTGTGGCGTGAATGTGACATGGCCATGTATCAGTAAGCATATCAAAGCTTCCGCTGCTTTTTTTTTTTGTTTTATTTTTTTTTTATGTCCGAGCCTTCTGAAGGAAAAATGAAGAGGAAGCAGGTTGGGAACCTGTGCTGACCATTAGACTTTAACTCTACGATGACTCAAACTTTGTCTCTGTAAGCTTTTCTTTTGTGATTTTTGCCGTCAATCAAATCAAAATTATTGTTTTTTTTTTCTTTCAATGTACTGGAATTTTGTTAGTGGTTGTTCTGCTTCCTGTGCTAAAAGCATGATCCTGAGGATGATTGTGTAATGTTTTTGGGTGCTTGTCACTGTGGGGTACCGTGGGATGCTGTCATCTCTTGCATGTTGGTGGCCCCTCCCACCCCGACACTTGGGGACGAGGGTTTGCGGGAGGGACGGGAGCTTCAGTTAACATTTTAAGAAGTGTGTGTTGCCACACGGGGGACTCGTAGAAATTCGCACAAACCTTTTTTTCCCTGAGTGCTCTCCCTGGACTTTTCCTTCTTCTAGTTTTAAGAAACTGTGAAAGTTGAGAATGTTGCTTGTTAGATGATTTTTTTATGTGTCTGTTGAAGTTGCAGCCTGAATGTATTCCATGATGGGTTGAAGTGGTAGTAACTTGTTTTTTTAACCCAGCTAGTGTTTTTTTTTCTCTGCTGGTCAGAGTAAAAACTACAGTATTTAATTATTTGTAATGCATAACAACATGCACCTAAAATGTGCTTAAACGGCTGATTTGGCCAAGTCCCTCACAACATTTAATAACTGCTGCTGCTAAAATACTTAAACCTAATGCAACAATCACCATGGTAAAATTGGACAGGATGAATAAACAACCATAACACAAAATAATGACTGTTTTTAGATTTAATGCTTCATGGAATACAGAGGCAAATACTCGTTTGTGTGTTTCATCATTTCCTGTTGTGTTGTGATTGGGTCTGGCACATTCCAGCTGAAAAGGAGTTCGATGGGGTGTGTTCACCGTCTTGTTGTTCTTTCATGAAAGATTGTAGGTCTAAAAAACACAAAGTCTAGTGCCCATTATTACTGTGCTGTCTCTGACTTGAACGCTGCTATACATTTGTAGTTGTTTCTCCACTTGAATTTGTGTTAACCTCAGGTTGGTTTTGTTCCAGTGGTACTTGTTTTTTTCCCCTCGATGTGTTTGCCTTTTATGCATCCCCTCAACAACTACAGAGTAGTAAAAACAATGTCCTTCTTGTGAGAAATGTATAACCCTGGGCGATAATTGACAAGTGTTGTCTGCAACACTGCGTTGTCAAAATTGTGGTTGAAACTTTAAAATGGGTAGAAAATTGAAAAGTGAGAACTTGCACGTACTTTATCTACTGTCTGTGTATTGTGATTGGATTTAAGCAAGTAGCATAATCCCTACATGATGCCACAGGAGCATATAATTTGAGATTTTGGTGTTTTTTTAATAACTTTAGGGTAAACTGTATCAAAAGTTTGCAAGTTCAAAACACGTCAAAAATGCAGTGTTTGCAGATCTAAGTTTGACTTTCTACGATTCAGCTTTACTGAAAATTTGTATTTTATAAAGCACCTATAGGAATGTCTGGTCAAAGAGCTCCTTTACTCTGTAATTCAATTAGCCTTGATTAGATTATCTGCCTTCATCTTTTTTGCTAAGAAAAGCAAAATCATCATTTTGATAGACACGGTTTGATTTTTTTGATAAGCTGCTAAATTAAAAAATAATACTTTTGGGGCCACCAAATATTTTGGATCATGCAAAGACTCTATATTGTATTGTAGTAATTTTGTAATATTTGTAAGATGACATGGTGGGTGTGACTGAATACCATTGCTTGAATCTGTACATTGTTCCAATAAATTGTTTACATTATTATGAGCCTCAGGTTGTTTTATTTGAGAAACGATAGAGGCTTGTCTCAGAAATGTTTTATAGCAAAGAGATGATTTACAGAACCTAGAAAGACATTGATCTTATGAGATTTTAAAAGATTAACCAAGAGGTAGTAACCTACTGTTCCCATTCAAGGAAAGCCATTCGGTGATCCCAGCTCACCTTTGGGCAGGGCTTAATTCAGCAGACTGTCCTTCCTGCACAGTTGAGAGCACCATTTTCAGTTCAAAAGATTGCTTCACTTGTGAGTTAAACTTAACACGGCTAAAAAAATATGAGACGTTTTAAAATTCATTCCTAGTTGCCTGGTAACTAGTTACGTGTGGTTGTGTTTCCTAAAACAAACCAGCCACAACATAAACACACATGTTGACAGTAACATGAAAGCTGTTCATAAAAAATGAACAATCTGTTTTGCCTTTAAATCTAATATTTTTCAGGAAATTACACCTTAATTTCTAATGAAAGAGCAAGTCACCTCCAAATCAACTTTTTTTTTCTGATAAACTATATAAATGCGTGTCTGATTGTGCTGCAGACATGTGTAGTCAATAGTTTTGCACTTTAGTGCATTTTAGTTAAAATTTTTATTGTCTGCCTAAAACTCAGTGTTGATCCAGTGTCTGTGCAGGATCGGCTCGGGTGCAGGATCGGCTCGGGGTCCTTCGACTGCCGATGACGTCACATGACTGCAAATCTACTCGGCTTTCACACACACGTTTTGGAAAGACATCAGCAGTTTTGTTAATAAATTCTTGTTTGTTAACACCTAAATGTTTTCTTTATAATTGTAATTTGTTAATAAAACACCATATTATCTTTGTTTTGTAAAGAATGTGAAACTGCATAAAACCAACATCGGACTGACAAACAATAGAACAGTTCTTATATGTGAAGCCACATCTGTTTGTATTAATGTGGACTTTGTCTGTATATTTCCTTAGTTGTTATCTAAATACATTCTTTGACTCAAAATATTGCTTGGTGTCTTTCAATAAAGTTCTTATATTTTATTTTGCCCCATTTCATCAACATCAAGAGCTTTTGAGGGTCACCGTATATCGTTTGCTTATATTTTACATTTCCTTTAGAAATTCAAACACATTTTCTCCAAAAAGTGTTGATTTTTGGACTACAACCACTAAGACTACTACCGCAAATTAGTTCTGACCAATCAAAATCATAACGTCACTTCTGTAAGCTTCATGTTCAGCCAATCAACTACTTTGACGTCATCGGCAGTCGAAGAACCCCGAGCCGAAACTGCACCCGAGCAGATCCTGCACCGACACCGTTGTCAGGTAAAAACTGCACTGCGTTTGAATTTAAATCTGCCATCGCTATTGGCTAAGAGGTACCCTAGAACGTTGACTGGTACCATATGATGTCACAATGTCGTTGTGAGCCTGTGTGTGTATTTGTTAGTGGCTCCGCCCTCTCGGTCTACTAGGCAACAGCATTTTTTCCATTTTTGAAATAGGAAGTGGGAGCAGAGTAATACTCTGGTAGGGGGTGACGTTCAAAAACTGCAAAAACGTGCTTTGGTTTGTGGTTTTAAATCGAATACTAGCATTTATTTATAAAGGATTATGTGCTATAAGAATAAATACACATCTGGGCATCTTTTCTAAAAAAGTTATTTAAAAACTTTATATTGATCCTCAGTGAATTGAAAAAAGCTGCTTCTGCATTTGCTTGCGAGTCATAACATGTGTTGGACACTATGAATTCTTAAAGAATGAAGGAAATGCAACAAATGCGTAGGTCATGAGTTTTTAGTATAAAATAAGGACTTGTTCGCGTTAACAAACTTAATGGAAAATGGGTAGCAAATTATTACGCATCTCTCTAAACTCTACTCACTCTAGGGTGGAAACCAGGATAAGCAGGCACATTTTGAATGGATTAAGTCAAAACAATCAACATAAACTGTGCTTGACAAAATAACAGCAGATGAGCCCCAAACACCAATACCTAATTCAGTAGTCAGTGAGGAGGGGTGCTCAGCCTGTGGGTAAAAGACTACGTTTTAAACTAAAGAGAACACTAGATTTGGAGGAGAAACAAATGAGCTGATACTTTGTTAAACTGGAGAAATAAGAAAGTAAGAACATATACAACCCGATTGGTCAAAAAAAAAAAACATTGCAATTAGAAAAAAATCCAATATCAAGGAGTCACAAAGGGTTTTCTGCAGAGGTGAAAAAACAGTTGGAATATGCCCACCCAAGATAGGAATCAGAATATTTTCAAAACTGTTTCATCCATTTTCCCCAACATTATACATTGCTCATTTATCTTTACTCTGGTTTAGATTTATTTAACTTCCTTTATGCAAATGTGATTAGCTTTTCCTCATTGTCGTGTTTAGGATGGAGGAATTTCCAGGGAGCACTTGAAGGCGGCATATCGACCGGGCGGCTAGCAGCTAGCCCGGTGCTCGCCTCGCCCTCGGCCGTTAGCAGCGCTGTTTCCTCCCTACGTCTCGGGAAGAAACCGCGGGGGGAAAGGCGCAGTGCAGCCTAGTGGAGGTGGAGTCTGTCGGTGGGGAGGGAGAAGAAAGGGGAGAGGAGGAAAACGGCAAGAAGGCAGATATATAACAGAAAAGGGGGGAGGACGGTGGATGATTTACGCTTTAAGAATAGCATCACAGCCAATTAAAAAGTTGCTCAGAAGAGGATTTGAACAAGATGATAGCGCCTTACTTCCTAGAAAATTTCTGGGTAGGTGGTGTCTTTTCAATACTGTTAACGCCGGTGCTGCTCCCTTTCTAACATGGTCATGTCAGCAAGGAACCGAGTGCTATTCACGTCGCAGGGCCAGTCCAATTGTTTCCTGGCTTGCTCCGGCAGAGCTGACACTGCCCGGTACAGTCAGACCAACCGACGGGCTACCTCCGGGACCGTCGTTAATTTATCTTCGGACGATAATTTCGCTACCCCGGGGTTTGGGGCCTCTGAACCTATCTAACTTGAGAGCTAAAACAGTCCAGCCGTTTGCTCGGTAATTTGCTGCGCTTGGATTACTTGGAATGTTTACGGTCAATTCCACGAATACTATTGGACGTTTCGACTGTCAATCATGTGTTTTCCTGTTACACGTCATTTTCTTCCGTAAATACATTTGCGCGAGAGACCAGATGTTGTAAGAAGTTCTTAAAAAAGGGGAGACAGATCCCAGCAACTGATTCATGTAATACACATCTGGTGCTAGTGCGCATGCGTTAACATTACAGCGTCCATAAGCAGATAAGGTCAAGTTTTTGGCGATGAAATCAAACGCTGCTATGGTTGAAAAATAAACTAGGTAAACGAATGTTTTCATGGTTTTTCCACCTTTGTTTAGCTTTATGTTTAATAAAGTGACTTATGACAACATTTTATATTCTCTGATATATTGATCCTTATAAAACTGTCTTAGAATCTCATAAATTCGTAGTGTATCCTGTTATGAACAATAGCGAACAGGCTGGCTTCAGGATTTCATTATATATAACTGTGTTATTAGAAGATTTTGTTGCATTTCAAGCTGAACACATTTAGTTCTTCGATATTAAAACTGAATCCTAGCACCGGTGGTATTTATTGCTGCAGGTTTGTCAATCATCAACTTAGCAGGAAATAACCTTTTTTATTTTGACTCATTTCTATAGTGGTTTAATACAGCTATAATAATTCTGAAGCTTTTTCCTCTCAGCTTCAGTTACTTGATGAGAATGAAGTCTGAAGCCAGTCTACTGGTCTCATATAAAGAACATACATTTCAATGAATACTTAGCCGTGCATTTTAAATAATTACATAGCATTTTGTTCCTGAAGGAAGCTTTAAAAGGACCATAAATGAAAATAAGTCCTTGTGATCCTTCAATCTGCTCTTTGTGCCTTGCATTGAGCCACAAGAGAATCCAGTGATGGCTGTGATCAGCTGTGTTTAACATGCAAAGCACACACATACTTGGCATTAGGGGATGCATCCATTTCCCTTTTGACTTGACTACAAATCTTCACCTCAGGCAGGCATATAGCTCTGTTACACACTGAACGTGTCCAATTTCTGCAGACTTTTATTTATTTATTTATTTTTACCTGTTTTCATTTGCAAAGCAGACAGGAACACATAACTTTTCTCCATCGTGTGAGAGTTTTGTTGGGGAGCCAAATGATTTTCTTAGCTTTTATTTTTCCTCGTTTGCAGTCTTAGCTCAGCTCTTTGTAGAAAATGTCTTCCCTCAGCTGAAAAAATAAGATATTTTAGGAATCAGGAACCAGAAGGCAACATTGTCTTTTTGACAGAGCTGCAGCTCTTGACTGGTGCCAGATTCTCTTGTAGTCTCATTTCCCCCTTTTTTCAGTTTGCAGTAGCATAACCTCAGTATGTGTGGTGTGTGCTGAAAGAGCTCAGTGTGTGGTTTTTTCATGAAACTGTGGAGTTATGATTCATGTACAGTCTGGTGGTCTTTAACATGCCTTGGGAAAGTAAGATGGAAGTGTGATAACCAGTGTTGACACAAGCAACAGGAATGGCTGTTTTCTTCTCTCCCATGTGTGTGTGTGTGTGTGTGTGTGTGTGTGTGTGTGTGTGTGTGTGTGTGTGTGTGTGTGTGTGTGTGTGTGTTGTCGTCCAATGGTTTTACATAAAAGTCACTGTAAGTCAGACTGGAAGCTATGATCAGCCATGAGGAGAGTCAGAAAATACTCTGGTTGTGCGGTTGTGCTTGAAGCAGAAACTTTTCTTGTGCTTGTCAATATTTGAAATTACGACTGACCTTTGACCTTCACAAACACATTGAAAAACCTGATTTAAATCAAATGAATTCAAAAGTGTGATGAGCCATGCTTCTCTTGGGCTTTGCTTTCTTAATAACCTACTGAGCAGCAGGAAATTTGGACAGTCTAGCGTTTATGTTGACTCCTGCTCAAACGTATGCCCTGTCGCCTAGCGACCATGATGGTGCTAAACAGGTTAAAACTAAACCTAACAGCGACACATGAAGATATTCGACATTCGCTATACAAGCTCATTTATGAGTTTTTCTCTTAAAAATATATTTAAAGACCAGCTATGCAAATGGAAAAATCCCAATGACACAACCCCCCCCCCCCCCCCCCCCACCAGCAGATATTAACTAGCCTATATTTAAACTATAAAATTCTCCAGGTTTGTCAACTGTTATTGTAAGGAACAATATCTGCCGTTCAGCCCACAGTGAAGCCTGGCTGGGATAGGGTGGGCCAGTAACAATACATCCTACCCAACTTGAAATTCAGGGAAAATAAGGGTTGTATTTTGAGTATCCTTTGAATTTGGACAGCCGTGTCGCTTCGTTGTGACATAATCAGCTTTAAAATGCAGCCTTTGAAGGACGCAGCCCCTGATTTTAGATCATATTACCTATGTCTGTTTTAGACGCATCCATGGTATTTAGAGGAAACATTCCTGTCTACTTCAATCGCACAAAAGTGAAGCCAAAATGTCTCCTTTGTTTAGTATTTGTATCCAGTTGCTGAAACACCCACACCATTTCCTTTAATCATGGTGTTATTTGTTTTTCTTTCCAGTATCAAATGACTTATTATAATTAAAAATATTAGAAACATGAATATTTTAGCATGCAGCATCAATGTGAATCAACAGGAGTTGAGCTCAAAACTTGTTCTGCAGCCAGCCACTAGGGGGCTCTAAGTTTGTTCTGGCTTCAGCTGGTTTGATCTGGATGTCTAATTTCTATCTATGCTAATGCTTTTGATAGCTTGAAATGTCTCTGAGACCTTTAATACCACATAACTTAGAGCCTAAACCTGTTCCTGGTAACCATATTCATGTTAATTCACTTTCTACAAGTGGAGAATTTTAATATGTTAGGGTCTTGTTCACGAGTGAGGGAAAGATGGAGGACGAAATCGATAGATGGACTGGTGCTGCGTCTGCAGTGATGCAGGCGTCGTACCGGTCTCTAGTGATGAAGAGAGAGCTGAGCCAGAAGGTGAATTTACTGGTCGATCTACATTCCTACCCTCACCTATGGTCACGAGCTTTGGGTAGTGACCGAAAGAACGAGATTACGGATACAAGCGGCTGAAATGGGTTTTCTCCGCTGGGTGTCTGGGCTCTCCCTTTGAGATAAGGTGAGAAGCTCGGTCATCCAGGAGGGGCTTGGAGTAGATCTGCTGTTCCTCCACATCAAGAGGAGCCACTTGAGTTGGCTTAGGCATCTGGTCAGGACGCCTCCCTGGTGAGGTTTCCCGGTCACATCCAACCGGGAGGAGACCTAAAGGAAGACCCAGTACACGCTGGAGGGACTATGTCTCTCAGCTGGCCAGGGAACGCCTTTGGATTCCCCCGGAGGAGCTGGCCCAAGTGGCTGAGGAAAGGGAAATCTGGGCCTCTTGGCTTAGGCTGTTGTCCCCACGACCCGACCCTGGATAAGTGGAAGAAAACCGATGGATGAATTTAAACGCCATTTGAAGCCGATCAGCTAACAGCTTTCTGAGAATCAACCGAGTCACTCATCCTGTCACTGCTGACATCTTAAAACAACATTTCAGCATAGACATGATGGGTCATCTACAGCAGCAGCTTTTCATTATGTCATTGTTATTGTTTTTTATCGAGCTCCTGTGGTCTTAAGATGCTGCTAAACAGCTAACAAACGGAGAACAGGCGCCTCGGTAGAACATGAGCATTGGAACACGCCTTGCCGGTTCCTGATGACATGTCTCTTTGGCAACTGGGGTGGGACCAAGACATCAAGGCGGGGTTCCTTGGCATTGAGAAACACCCTTTGTCTCCACACAACATCTGCCCCGTAATCAAAAAGGTCACACGAGTTTTAATGGAACATCTGTATTAGGAACTAGTTTTTTATTTACTAAATGGTATGTTTGAGGTGTGCATGGTTGTGCAGTTGGTAGCACTGTTGCTTCGCAGTACGAAGGTTGTAGGTTTGAATCCCAGCTCTGGCCATTTTTTCACGGAGTTAGCATGTTCTGTGCATGCATGGGTAATATCCTCCCACAGACCAAAAACATGCACCTTAATCATCTCTCTGTGTGAGTGACTGGTTGTGTGCCCCTGTTTGTCCCTGTGATGGACCGGAGACCTGTCCATGGTGTCCCCACCTCTCGCCAATGACTCCTGGAGTTAGATGGTAGCTCCCCACGACCCTGAGGATTTAAGATAAGGCGTGGATGGATGGATGTGTGGTACATTTGAGTACAGGGAGAAATTGGTAACTTTAAACACAATCACTGCAAATTATGATTTTCATTTACTTTTTATGTTTATTTATTTGGCAGATACTTTTTTCCAAAGCGATGTACAATTGTTAGCCTATGGGGTATGTTGTGATCTGTGGGGGAAACCGGAGTACCCGGAGGAAACCCACGCATGCATGGGGAGAACACGCAAGTCCACGCAGAAAGGCCGCAGCCGAGTTCCGAACCTGCAACCTTCGTGCTGCGAGGCAACAGTGCTAACCACTGCGCCACCATGCAGCCCTGCAGTTTTTGTAACCAGATCTTCTGAAATGTTGAGGAAATGAAGCATAGAGGATTGTGTTTTTACTTAAATCTTAATGAGCAGTCATGTGTATAAAACAGCAGATTAAAATGTGGGGAAACCCTGAGTGACTCAGTAGCCTGGCTTGCTTTTACTTTTCTATAAAGCAAGTTCTTTCCTTTCTGGGGGTTACGTTACAGCCTGTAAGGCAGTAAGCCTTTGATTC